GTAATTTCAGCTAGTCAGCATATTTGAAGTTTGGGGAGCACAATAAGGTTGCTCATAGGAAACAGCTGCTAAGGGTAGGTAATCCATCTATAAAGTGGCATAGCTTGAAGCAAAGGAACCTGCCACTTCCTTTTATCAGGACGAAATTATTGATGCTCTCTGAAACTCTGCTTATCCTGTCTAGGATATTCAGTCTCAACTCCAGGGTAACTTTGTCCTTTTATTAGTTTATTTAGAATAATGCACTGGGTTTCAGCCACTCATCTTCTTCTTTTTCCACAAAAGATCCACAAGACCTGTTAGAAATCTGAAGCCATACTTTAAAAAATTATATTTGTGGAAGTTGGTGTTTGTCTTTGCACTGTGGCAGGTCCCTTTGGGATTTCCATTTAAAATGTCACAAGTAAATTGGAAGAGGGTCAGTTTGTATGGGAGTTACACAAGGGTCTCTAGCTATGTAGACAGCTTTAAAACACACTCAATAACATTAGGAGATGTTCCAGGGTTGCAAATAAAAATATTGCAAAAAGGACAACAAGGAACGGAAACATTTTTTTTAACCACAGAAAATGAGGTAACATCCAGAAATGGCTTAAGATGATGCCTCTTTAATTCATTGACCTGCAAGGAGAAGGGGTACAGCATACAGATAATTCTCAACTTAGAATCACAACTGAGCCCAAAATTTCTGTTGGTAAGCAAGGCAGTTGTTTTACTACCTTTATTGCCACAGATGTTAAGTAAGTCACTGCAGTTGTTAAGTTAGTAACACAGTTAATAACACAGTTGTTAAATAAGTCTGGCTTCCTCACTGACTTTGCTTGAAGGTCGCCAAAAGTGATCATATGACCCCAGGACAGTTTCCAAGCATCCAAATTTTGATTATGTAACCATGGGGATGCTGCAATGATCAAAAGTGTGAAAAATGGTCATAAATCACTTTGAAAGGTCACTAAATAAGTGGCTGTAAGTTGAGAACTATCTATAATCAGACTTGTAAAATTTTGGTATTAAAGCAATATAATTCCTGTAAATTGACTTTTTGTTTGGTCTACCTAGTAGACCAAACAATATGCAAAATACCCAAAAATCTCAGAAAAGAGTGACAAAGCTCTTGCACAGATTTATACATGCACTTGACTTTCTTGAAAGCACTCGATTAAAGCAAATATCCAATTCTCTAATGCTAAAACATGCCTGAGATTATCTTGCTTGATTTCCAAAAGCTAAGCAAGTTTGGATCTGATCAGAATTTAGATAAAATACTGCCAGAAAATACCAAGATTATAAGCCAGACTAACAAGCCATTTTGTTTTATATGAAAAAAACCAGAAGCTTTTATTATCAAAATTATGATTTAAAAATTTTGCTGTTATTTGCATATTTCTCCTTATTAAGTATAGTTGATTGAATCAAGATTTTTGCTGTTCCTCTTCTCCAGTTTACTGTTTTGCTGAATTTGCAATCTTCTGTTAATTGCAATGTTACATAGTTATTCCTATGGCAACCACTTGTGTGTTGCCACTAATGGGAATATATGAATTCACGAAATAAAAAAACTCTGTTCATTTAAATAGCGTCAGCAATAAAGCACGGCATATAGAGGATAACAAAGAGTTAAATGTAGCTTAAATAGTTTTGGAGTGAGCAAAATGTTTCTGTAAGTTGTTTATATTATACTGGTTCTTCCTAAAAAGTAAGGGTCATCTTTTGTATAATGTCAAATGTAATCAGTAGTGTGTTTAGAAAAAATATATGGGGAAAGAGTGACAAAGAAAGCACAAAATGGGCTCTTAAGGGAATGAAATCTCTGTCTTGCGTGTGCAAGCCTTGATGTACAGAAAGCTTGCTTGCTTATTCAGCAGGTATAACTGTTATCTCAGTGCTGTGTCAGCAGCATGAGAGACAGGGCCAAGCCATTTTGCAGAAAGGTTATTCTCCCAACCAACCCACCCCTTCGTGGTATCAACTATTTTTCTCTAAAATTTTATTTCTTGCACAAAAAGCATCCATCAACTATTCCTGAGATTCAGTACAACAGGAACTAAATTGTTAGGGGAAGAGTTACAAGAAAAGTGGCCATGGGAGATTTCCCTCAGACATCTAATATATTGCCCAGGTGTTTCTGCAAGGTAGGTTCAAAAAGGTCAAGTGGGCCACCAGGATGATGAGATTGAAGGTCCAGCTGATATTTGTGCATGCTGTACATAAAAGTCAGATAGCACCTTAAATTGTACCATCACTTCAACAATCTTGATTTTTTTTTATAATACCTTGCTGATTATTAAAGAACAGACAATCAGATAACTTACTGGCTAATCTCTTATATAAGCCATAAACACAATTGTAGGTCAGGGTATCACCAAAATTGACTATAAAATTTCAGTTTTCTCATCTTGAGTTTTAATATATATAAAATAAGGCATAGCCTGCTCTGTTGAATTATTATCAATTCCAACATTCAGGAATATCTGGAGAACAGGCCTAACTGGCTGCTTGTACTAGGCATCTAAAATTTCTCTGCTTTCTTTTTACTAATTTCCTACAATGTGCCATAGTGAGTCAGAGACATTGGGAAAAATTAACACTAAGACGGTGGCTGAATCCAACAAGGGCTAGTTGGGGTTGAGCCAGAACAAAAAAAAAGGGGTATTGCAAAACTATCATCACATTCTAAAAAATTTAACTTACATTATGTATGTATCTAGATATTTACTGATAAACTATTCCTAAATGCTACTAGCATCAGTTGTTCCTCATGGGTTCTGTGCGTTTCTTAAAATTACTTAATCATAGGTGAGTCTGTCAATTTCAGTATTGCTCAGATTCTTCTTTTTACAAACGTTCTGAAAAAACAGAACATCCATTTACTTGTGCACTTCTTTGTATTTATGCAACTTTCCTATTACATTGATTTTTGCAAACATTTTCTCTATTATTATATGCTTTTCTTAACTTTTTTTCTCAGACAATAATTTATCCATTTTTGTGCAGATTCTTACAACAGTGAATTGTCCTATAAAGTGATGGAAAGTCCAGGTTTTATCACTTAAGGTTCAGGCAGTCACTTGTCTGAGATGGTATAGGTCCTCCTGCTTGAGCAGGGGGCCAGACTAGAAGACCTCGAAGGTCCCTTCCAACTCAATTTTATTATATAGTCAATAAATGCAGATTGAGCATGACCATACCAACTGATCAAGATTCCCCATTACCTTTTCTCTTATTCTCGGAAAAGATATACAGAATCATTTAGACATCAACTGTGAAAAGATGTGACGCTATTCCACATATATGCTCAGTTATAACTAAGGGCTAAAATAACTCCAGTTTATGAAAAACTAACTTTTTTAACAGCCTATTGCTCTGTTATTGAAATGAGGCCTTTTCTCCACAGACCTTGCTGTAATAGATTCCACTTTCAGTATGTCATAAAGGTCAGATGGGACTGAATTAAATTGTTTCACTGTTTGAAAATCTAACAGCAAAGGTAATAAGCCAAGCTATCTTTTCTGCTTCAATGCCCTAAATATGATGATTTGCAAGAATGGGCTTTTCTAATACTGTATAGGTAAAGCAGTCAATCAAAAATAACAAGAAAAAAAAGTTGTCAACCTATTGTAGAGTGGAGATGTATCAGCAATTCAATCACAATAAATGGTTTATTGAATAACAAACCTAAGCATGAAGGGGAGAACCCAATGAATGCTAAATGAACACAAGTTTCCTATGAAAAAAAGTTGTGAAATATGCCACCAACACTTGTTGCTTAGGAGTGTAACATTTGAATCAGTAGTAGGCTTGATTAAAACAAAAGGAATCCAGCTGTATTATCTACAAAGGGATGAAAGTTAACCACCATTTTCTTTTGATTACGTCCATGCTCAAGACATTTTAAACATAGTTTCCTGTGTTTAACCCTTTACTGTGTGAGGAATTGTCTTTCATTGCAAGAGAGGGCTTCATAAACTACTTCCAAAAGGCTGTTTTTCAGGCATGAGGAGAAATTTTTCTCCCATATTGTTTCTATGCTATGAAATGCACTCCCTGGACCTGCATTGGGGTCCTTTGTCTCTTTGTGCTCATAAAGAAAAGGATTTAAGACTCATAATCAGACCTATCCAAGCAACAACAAGAATAATTGAATTATGTTCAGAACTCATGTAATATCCTTATGTAATACATCTTCTATATACCTTTACAAAAATGTATACAAAAGATGTATTGCACAAGAGATGGTTAACAAAAAGAGCCCAGTGTACATACAAAGTTATGCATACAAAAAGTTTACCTGTGAATCCAAACTTACAAGGAAATAATCTGCCTAAAAAGCTGATAAAGACATACAGATACAGTGATCTGGTCTGAAAAATGAGCAACTACGCGACAACAAAAAAACAGATTTATAGGTCTGTTGGGAGAGTCCTGACTACTAGCAGCAATGCTCCAGCCAACACTAGGTGGCTGGGAGCCATCAATTTAATTTTCTTTAGTACTTCTGGTATAGTATTACTCTGGAGCATTGTTGGAAATTAAGTTGTGAGACCCAGCCTCGGCTCTCATCATATCCCTATAGTGACTGAAACATTAGAAAATAAAGGACTGGGGAGAGCATCTGCAATGAACTAAGTGGTGCCACTTAATAACACTTAAAACTTGCAAACCACACTTTCTTAATTCAGTGTTTCTTTATTTCTTCCCAAAATGTTATCACTGAGTTATTATTATTATTGGCTATATGATAATTGTATAATCTTGCAAGAAATATCTCCACAGACTTCATTGCCTATGACTTTAGGCATGTACTGTTTTTCATACGCTCAGTATCCTCAAAAGTATTTATACCTTGAAAAAAGAACATGGGGAACATGCAGAGAAACATAAATAATATTTCAGCTCTTCTTAGTAAATAAGGGATGATTTTTTTGGTCCCCTTATAGCAGGATTTCTGTCCTCTGCCTAAAGCAAGCTGTCACTTCAGTCTTTGTATAATAACAACTTACAATGAATTCATCAGTGGCTCCAGGTTGAAAACACATGTATCCCAAACTTTGTGAAGACAGGAGAAGATCATCACTTTTGCCTTTTGAGCCATAAATCACAAGGGTTCTTTTAGATGTCTGTGGCTCTGGAGAATCATGATCTGTTTTCACCACCACTCTCCACTGACCTGTGAAGGAAAGGAAGCAAATAACCTCAACTGCAATGTATCTATCACACTGGGGAGGAAAATGTACAGTTGTTTGTATTGCTATGATTACAAGACATTTCATCAGTGCAACACATACTGGAATCATATCATCTATAGCTTACATGACATAATGCTATGAGAAGATGAGAAGGAATAATCCATACATTTCTATACAGTTTCATGTTAGTAGGGGATTTGATTACTAAACTATAAAGACAATCGTGATGATGATTGCATAATGTGGCCTTGTGATATTTACATGTGATTCTATTTACACACTACCTAGATCATCTCCTTTCTTCGTTTCTATCACTTATTTTTGTATTTTCTACATAAAGCTTTTTCATCCCCCTTCCTTCCCTTTGAAACGAAGGTCTTTTCCTCAGGTGGGTCACTGGACTCAATAACTACAAACCTGCTGGAGAAACAAATCAATACTTGGATATATCTCAAGAAATGTAGATTTGTTACTGTAAATCAGATATGAAACATGTAGTTCTTACAATAACTTAGTTTCATTGGTCCCTATTTATGAAGTCTTTAATCAATCCTGAACCTGGTGCAGATGTTCTTCATGGGACAGGGTGGCTGTGTTCATACAACATAATTAAATTGATTACTGTTTTTTTTTTTGGTCTTGGTTCACATAATACATTATTTCATATAATATGCAAATGAGGCAATTTTGCCTACCATGCTACACCACAAAATTAAACAAGCTAAGGAGCTCACTAGTCCAGTTTATTAGGCTGTATTAGTTCAGCTATTAGGTCTTAACTGATCTGGTTTAGCACACTAAATAAAGTCAGTGCCATCCCAAAGCATATTGCAGAAGAATGTGCTAAGAGGCAATCATTATGAAAAGTTTTGCTGCACCTGTGCTGAAAGTGGGGAGAAAAGCAAATGAAAGGCAGGAAAACTCCATTATTACTTCCACAAAGTGGACAGAGATTTTTCCTAGCTTTTTAAAACATCATTCTTTTAACTGGAGATGCTAGAGACTGAATTTGGGGTCCTTTGATGCAAAATATATAGCTTATTCCTATAGCTTTTTCCATCAGCCAAGGAATCGGTTCTCTAGAAACAGTTCATTAATGACTACTGTTGCTTTTTTTCTTTTCTGTCACTTCATGATCCAGTCCTCATCCCCACATCACATACCAACTTAAATTCCTATCCCTGTGGCTAAAATGATAGCAGAAGAATAATCTTGATATATGCTTCAAAGCAATATCATTGTATGAACAGGTTTTGAATGGTAACAAGAATCTTCCTTAGAGAGCTAACCAGAATTTACTTATTTAAATAATAAAACTATAGACTGGAAATATTAGGGGTTTTTTTGTACAAAGAAAAGCAGTAGACTTAGATGCTCAGATCATTCCATGATATTCGTTAGATATGGAACCGCCATGCCCCACTTGTTGATAAACTCAGCAGATGGCAACTGAAATTTATTGAAATGAATTAGAATCAGGCTGGGATAGTTCTTGCACAGGAGACCTCCAGTGAATAACAGGATGTACTGGGAAATTAAAAAGACATCCTGAAAGAAGACATGGTAAATATGTTTATTTTATTGCCAAAAAGACTGTATGAACATAAAACAAGAACATCGTAATTGAGCTGAAATTTAAGGAGGTGTTGTTGTTTTTTTTGTTCCAGGGAGTGCGATGGTTCAGATGCTAAGCTTGTCAGCTGGAAAGCTGATAGCCTGGGTTCAAGACCCAAGCGCTGTGCAACGGGATTAACTGCAGTTCCTACCCCAGCTCCTGCCCATCTAGCAGTTTGAAAGCATGCAAATGTGAGGAGATTAATAGGTACCACTTCGGTGGGAAGGTAACATTGTTCCATGCATCTTTGGCATGTAGCTAGGCTGGCCACATGACCACAGAAAGCGTCTTTGGACAATGCTGGCTTCCTCAGTCAAGAAATGGAGATAAGCACCGTGCCCTAGAGTGGACACAACTGGACAAGGAAACCTTTACCTTTACTTTTTTTTGTACCAGCATAGAGGTTCAAATGATGGGCTATATCTAACATCACAAATGTAATATTTAATATAAAGATTTATATTTAATGTAGTATAGTGTTGATTCAAAGCCCTATATCAGCTATGTGTTGAGCAAAGTACATAGGATAAAAATGACTTTATTTCAGATCTCTACATTACACACTTTGTTATGATGCCAAAGGTACAGGAAAAAATTCTGTTTAGGCATTTTCTTGGGTATATAAAGGCTTTAAAGTTGAGAATGAACTGCATATGAAGCCATATTGCTGAATCCCTTCAGCCTGTATGTACTTTATACATCAGTGGAATTAAACAATCATGCACAATGAGTACAGTGAGAAAACAGGAGCTGGACTGATATGCATATTCATCCTCTGACTATTTTATTTTATTTTATTTTATTATTCTATTTATTTTTATTTAGATAACGACTACTGGCACCCTAGAGAAAGCCCAAAATGTAACACCTGTTTGAATTTAAGCTACCCAGAGTCATTGACTGAGATGGGTGGCTATAGAAATTAAATGAATGAATGAATGAACAGCTCCAATATGTATCTCTGTGAGCAAGTGACCATAAAGCAAGGCTTCCTCAGAACACTAGCAGAATCACTTGGAAAATAGTATTTGTTCTAAAGAAATGATGCCTTTATTTCTTTTGTCTAATAGTCCTCTAGGTTCTAGAACATCCAGGCTATTTCTACCCAGCTATCGGTTCTATCATCCTAATTGATGCACAGTGATTTGAGAATGTTACCACCAATATTCCTGTTCTAAAGAGATCCATGGTTCAGCCAAAAGGTACTCTCTCCAGCTAACTAATGGAAGAGTATAAAAATCAGCATCTACACAACTACATTATCATCTCATCTTTAGTTGTCAACACATTCATCTGGCCACAAATGGAGATGTATCCTGAAAGCTGACTCTCTTTTCATTTAAAAATAAAAACAGAAATTACAGCCTGCTGGCATCAGAATCTAGCAGGAAGAGGGAAAAGCAAGGATCCAGACAGTAGAATAATATTTCCCAGCAGGACATGAGTAATTCACTCAGTTTTTGCAAGTACAGAACTCTCCACGCAGTGATTTCGTCTACACCTACTGCTGTGAAGTACAGTATACTGACCAGTGTGATTGTGTGGATATAAAGCTGACTAGTTCAATTGCTAATATGGAGGAACTCTCTGTGTTTTCAATAAGCACACTGTCTAGAAATTCTGGCACTATACAGTAGTCCTTAAATTTAAAAGGTGTGACAAATGCTTTAGGGCAAGCTGCCCAATATTTCAAAATAACAAAATTAGTGCAATAACAATATTGCACATGTTATAGCATAGTCTGATGAAACAAGAAAGTCATATAAATTTACATCTAAGAAGAGAATGTAATTGGAGCAATAGCAGAGGTGAAGAGATTTAATTGACTAAAAAGCCTTTTTATCCATGGATTCCCATTGCAAAATCTTTCTGTACAATATTTAGTCTTCACGTTTTTGAATATTCTGAAAAAATCCTGCTCAACTTTAGTCTGAAACTACCTTTGCTGTCATTTCACAATCTGTTCCCATTTGCTTTGCTGGGGGAGCTGTCCCCATTTATGCAGGATGGTGATGTTGGCATAAACAAAACAAGTCTTGCATCTAGTCTCAGAGGAACTTCTGACTCATTTTAAAATAGAATAGTAAAGATCAGAAGGGGGGGGAAAAACTAAGTGAAATACTTCAAGTTCAATCTCTTAACATTCCCCCTTGGTGAATCATAATCTATGAGTCTGCATCTCCAGTATTCAGATAATTTTCCACAAAAATATAATTTGATTTTTTATATGTCTATTTAATGTGGTAATGATATTTTAGTTCAAGCAGCAAAATTAACAGCACAAGAAGAGAGCTACTAATTTCATTGGCACCAGGGCTTTTTTTCTCATAGAACGCCCAGAATGGAGTTCCGGCACCTTTTTTGGATGGAACCTTGTTCGCAAGGCGAGTTGTATGACGTGTGTGAGTTTCAGTAACTTTTTTTTTTTTTTTTTACAAAAAAAGCACTGATTGGCACCATATCTGTATAGAACTTTGCAGTCTTGGCTTCTGTCCTAAATATTTAGGCCAATTAACTCTAGAGAAGGCCAAATCAATATTTAAAGAGAGAATCAGGGACATTGATCATCATCAAAATGATATCGCTACTGCCCCTGAATTCTATTGCCAAATGTTAGGTAACCAAAAGCCCTCTACTTTGCCATAGGACAAAGGGGTTGCCATATAATCTAAATTTAAGAGAATATAGATGGTCCTTTTCCTTGAGGCCTTCCTATCAGCTCTACTGGTGGGACTCCTTATTTGCAGAGACTCCTTATTTGTGGAACCAGAGAAGTAGAAACTGATGCTCATGTCTTCATACAGTGTCTTTTTTATGTGTGCTCTGATCTCCCCAATCATTTCCAACTATGAGGCCATATTAATAAATTTTATGTTTATTACTTTTTTAAAGGATGCTAATCCCAAATTCACATATCAGACCAAATATATTCACTAAGTTATACCACTGTGTGAAACTTTTAGTAGATATGTCATTTTATTGTCCTATTGTTTTTTTCCCCTTTTGCAATAATGAAGTGATGTGTCATACTATTTCTCTTTTTTACTGTAAAGGCTGGTCAAAGACGGTAATAAGGATATCTGATTTGACTTGATTTGTACAGCAGCAGAAGAGAAAATAATGCACAACTTACCTCTAGGATATGCTATAGAAGCATTGTTATTTTCTGAAATAAAAAAAAAGCACTATCATTTACTGGAAGATGATATATCTTTATATTTAATTAGAAATTTGGTACTTTGGATATATTTACTGTACAAGGGATTTTTGTTTTCAGTACTTACTTCTGGCAATTAGCTCTCTTTCAGTCTTCCCATCATCTTGGTACTCATCTAACCATCTTCCATGGGGGAAAAAGAGAGCAATTATAGTAAAACCAGAAAATAAACCTTAGTAAATGTGCTATATAAACAGTATATTTTATCTCTTTTAACAAGCTTTCAAAGTATTAATTGTTAAATCTTATTTCATAAAGTAGGCACAAAAAAGCTTTGTTTTATTTCAAGGGTGAGGCTCCTTTGGGATTGATGGACTCTCTTTTGCTGAAAGTGTTTCAACCTAGGCTGACTGATCATCTGTTGGCGATTCTGTAGTGAGGGATGCCTGCACTGACCTGGAGGTTGGACTTGGTGACCTCTATAGGCTCTTTCTCTAGTACTATGATATGAACTCAGTTTGAATAGACACATATAAGACTGATTATATTGATTGGTCCCATCACATGAACACAAAACATGACTAAAATAAAGATATCTAATGTAGTGTGGTGGTTAAATATTGGACTGGAATTCAGAAAACCCAGGATAAAGTCTACCTTCAGCCTTGGAAGCTTGCTAAAAGCTACTGCAGAAAAAAAGCAGGAGGAAGGAAAGCTAGACCCTGAGTCTAGTAATGAAAGATGGAATACGCATTTAATACATAAATAAAACATAGCAGCACATTGCAGGAAAAGACAAATAATGCCAGATAACAGAGATGCTATTGGTAATTTCTGTGTCAGAACTAAATGTGCATTGAAAAACACCTAAACGACCTCCCCAAAACTCCAGGAGTTTTAAGATCCATTTTGAAATAATGGCATTCATCAGTTACATACCTGTTACAAAGAAATTCAATTTCTTCTTCTTTATTCTCTGTTCCCTCCTGAAATCTGAGAACAATCTTTTGGAGGAACCATCCACTACCTGAGATTCAATGATAACAAGTGTAAAGTGGGATGGATAGAAGAGCCACTTCTGTCTTGATTGTGTGTCATTTAATGTATAAGTGACAACATAGATATTCCATATAATTCTTGAAGTATAAGATGCAATACTCATTTTATGGGATAAATATGTTTGCCTCTTCTTATCCCCTATTGAGCCTTCTACAGTTTTGATATTTTACAGATGTGTTGAATTACATCTCCAGTTAGTTTTAAACGGCAAGGCTGTTATGAGCAATGGTATTTACATTTTGATACCTGTGGGAGGCTCTTGCAATATTTCAAGAGGCAGACTAATGCAGCTTCTCCAATTTCAAGCTGTCCAGATGTTCTGAAATTATAAATCCCAGAACATCTGGAAAGTACTAGGTTTAGTAAGACTGATGTTATTTGTATATGCTAGGAGCAAGTAGCAATAAGGAATTAGTGGATTTCACAAGCTCATTACTAATCAGGGGAGAAGGGAAAGCAGAAATAAAGTCATCACACTGCTTAATGTGAAATATGAAAGAGAAGCAGCATATTTGATTCCACATATTATATGAATGAGAAATTAGGAAAAAAGCAATTAGGAGATAAAATTAGATAAAATGAAAGCTGATGGACAGATTTTCCACTGCTAACATTCTCCCATAAATATAGCATCCTTATAAAATATGTTATTACACAGAACATATAAGCTCAATATTCCTGCAAGAAAAAAAAATATACTTCCTGATCTTCAAAGGTGGGATGAGACATAATAAAATCATCATTCATTTTAAAAGAGACTGAAATGTATCCATCAATGAGAAAAAAGCTATACCTGGACCAATTCCATCATGGCCAATGACAATTTTATGCAGAACTCCAAGTGATACAGCCGTCACAGAGAAGACATCAGTCTGTAACACAACAACAAAAAGAATTTTAAGAAGTGGAGGAAGCTAATACAATCCAAACAATGAATGGCAGACTTTGGAATGATTGATTGGATATAAAGCACACATTATTATTTGTTATATAATATATATTCATTGTACAAATATATTGTTAGAAATTGCTACAATGTAAAATATGTATAAATTACTTAACAAATTACCATCTCAAGGATTTTTAAATAGGTTTTTCATAATAGCTTTTCAATAGTTTAATTTTTTAATATAACATGCCATTTTGTTCTTGAGATTCATATGCAGGTATGTACTGTTTCCCTGTTTTATTACAAATGAAACAAGCACTTTTCCTACCAGAATATTCTATTGCTTCTTCCTTGCTACGTTCTTCATATCAGGCTAGGAGTTAAATACTACCTACTTGCCTTTGAACAAAAGAGGAATTGTAGTATTATGTCAGTGCTACTAGCAACAAAGGTTAAACCAAGAACCTAAAGGAACTTACAGCCTCTTCTACTAGAATATTTAAATCTTCTAGTTGTTCGGCTTGAGGAATAAGTTTTGGAAACTTTTTTTAAAAAGTAAAATATTAAGCCTATCTAACAACTAAGATTAAAAATGAAGAGCAACATGGCACCACTTTGTGATGATCCTGGTAAGAAGGTACTTTGCCTGTGTCACAAAAAGCTTCTCAGTCTGAAAGCTACACAACCTGTTTGCTATAGTAATTGGGAATTTCAGACAAAAATTCCAACAGGCCTCAATCACAGGCTCTTTTTTATTTAGTCACATACATATGCTCTTCTTTCAACAATAGCAATAACAACAAAAATTGTTCAAGGCAGCTGACAATAAGAACACCTACAATATGAAATAACCAAATCATATCACATAATTAAAAGACATGAAATAAAATAAGAACAGATTTATTTTTTAACAAATGGCAGACAATAAAAAGCATAATTAAAATTAGAACACAGCACAACAGAAAGACATCAGTTATTTGTCAGGTCAAACATTGCTTAAATAAAAGATGAGCCTCCCTCAACTGGGAGTACCCTGAGAAGCCTCTTTCTAAAGTTTCTGATAAATAGAAATTGGTGGGACATATTTCTTTTCTGAAATCTGATATCAGACATCGATGGAAGAAGAAATAGGAAGTACATTCTGTCCCTTCATTTCTGACCTCCCTGCCCTGCTTGAATTCAGGGCACAAATTTACAGCCCCCACCTCCATCTCAAACTCTTACGAAAAAGCCTTGCTTTCCTTTGCAGGCATACTGTACTCATCATTGACATTCTTTCCATGCACAGAGTTCTCAGTTTGCTGACCAGCATTTCCTCTAGCTAGGCAGTGTTTTGCCCTCTGCCCTCATTCTTACATCATTGTGTCTGTGTCCATAAACAAGGAAAAAAGGGGAAAAATGCAAACTGTTCTAGGAAGGAGAATAATCAAGCAACTTCTCTATTTAACAAAATCACAAATTCTCCTTGGTTTTTTTGTATATATACAGTATATGCATATATGCAAATACATACACTTAAAAGGATGGAGTCCATGTATATAGATACATGCTCCTACACAATTCAGAACATCTGTCTTGAGTGTGTTTTTTGCCAACATAATTCGAGCTTTATAACTCAAATTAAGATTACCTGAATCATTAATGCAATTATGTTATCAATTACTTATTGATTCCAATCAGATGTTGTACATTTTTCTTTACCTGACCACATTGAAATGTGACTTTATTAGTGCTTGACTTCTGAAGTTTCCGTTTTCCAGAATCTCCTTGATTTCCAAAGATAGTGATGTACACATTTGAATTAGTTTCTGCACCTGGCTGTGTCCCAGTGAATACATTGATCTTGTAGACTACCACTGAAATGGAGACAAAATGTAATGTTTGTGTGAATTTTTACGTTGTTCATTGCTCAGCAGGTTGTTCCAAAGGTGCTTTTTCAGGAGGCAACTGGACTTTCTTGTTTTTCTTTGAAGACGTTTCGCTTCTCATCCAAGAAGCTTCTTCAGCTCTGACTGGATGGTGGGAATGGAAGGATTTATATTATATTTATGTAATCAGAGGTGAAAAAGCTTCTTGGATGAGAAGCAAAACATCTTAAAAAAAAACAAAAAACAAGGAACAGTTGCCTCCTGAAAAAGCACCTTTAGGACAGCCATGACCTGGATGACTGAGAATCTCCATAGACATTTGCTCAGCAGGTATTCATACCAACTTGAGTATTATGATTAGAGAAACTTATTGAACATTGAATATATAATTGCTTTTAAAGGAATCCTGCCTTGTTCTAAAGATAACCAATTAATTGGTAGTTTACAATGCTAACTTCACAATAAAAAACTAAGCATCAGGTGATCACGTGATTTGAGCAGGCAAAAACATGTATTTGTATCTATTGAGGAAAAAAGGGAAAAATCAACAGACTAAACTGGAACCTATTGATCACAAAACAAAAAATTCAGTGAGGCAGAGAGAAAAACAAGCAGTAATGAATCGGCTCGAACTACAAGCACATTAGTGTCCATGGGTTTCATGCTGGAGACCTACTTTCACAAATGCTGCTGCTGCTGCTTATAATGATTCAGAGTTAGTTCAGAAATATATATATATGAGTGTGAATGGAAGCTTAATATCACACATTGAATAGGATGTTGGTTGTATTGGGGAATTTTAACAAATATATTTTGTTGCTGTAAAGGATTCATAATTCAGATGATAGATAGATAGATAGATAGATAGATAGATAGATAGATAGATAGATAGATAGACAGACAGACAGACAGACAGACAGATAGAGAGAGAATTGTGAGTCTTTTAAAACATCAAAATATATTTGTTAATGTTCCCAAGTACTACAACATCCTAATGTGTAATTTTAAGCATCATTTTTTAGAAGGAAGTAATTTTGAAGGCAGCCGGCTACTAACCAGTAAAGCTTATTTCACAGAAGCCCAGCACTAAGGTGAAGACAAGCATTTAAAAACTAATTTTTGGGAAACATGCAAAATTTTAAATCTTTTACTGTCTGTTCTGTACATGCTGACAGGATTCAGTAAACAACAGCTGTCAGAGTGAAGTTGATAATAAAATACATGATTCATTAACAAACAAATACTGGGTAACAGACATTGCCTTTGAAAGGTTAGACAAAACCAGAAAAAAGAAAGCACTCACTCTCTCCCCAGTCGATAAGCACATATATTGAGGAATGATTGTGAGAAAATCTTGATCGCTGGGTTTATTGGTCTGAACACTGTAAGTATTTTGAGTGTAGTGACAGATTTATCCTGAGGTCAGCTTCTGATTATATTACATTGAGTATCTATTCAACATTAAGACTACAGGATCTCTGACTGTATGTGTGAACAAAACACAATTCTTAACATAAAGACTAGCTACTCTGAGCTGAGATTTCTATAACTGAGATTGCGTGCTTGATCATTCATTGTGATGGATTCTCCATTTCCTTCTTGAATAAGAAAAATTTAGATGCAAGTCCTAGAAAACATATTCGTGCAGGCCTGTTGTGAGATTTCCTGAAGATAGGAAACAGCATAAAAATATGACAAATAATAATCTGTTGAGATTACTCATGCATGAGCCCATATCAATGGAAATAGATGACCATGTAAGTCCTTTCAACCTAAGCCCATATTAACAACATACCAACAAATTGTCAGATATATTCCATAGCCTGGGTTGATAACACAGATCTTAACTTTCTCCCATTTTGAAAACTTCAAGAATGGAATAGCTAAGTTTTCACATGACCATTTTTAAGCATAATCACACTTTTATTGCATAACACATTTTAAAACAAGTGAAATAATGGTTTGTTCTATTACTTCATACCTGTGAAATTGCTAAACTGCAGCACCACAAATAACAAAAAAATATGATTCTCACCAGGGAAGCAGATAACAGGGAAGTAGTAGTTCACAAAATATTAGTCAAATCTTCAAAAGTCAGGATTTCAGGCCAAAATTAAAATTATCTTCTTAGTCATTTATAGGATAAGCAAAAATAAACAATCTGTCACATACATATAGGCCTGTTTCTGTCTATAAAAACTAATTTAAAACAATGGCACTCTCCATTCTGCATAATTTTATCATTGTTTGAAAGGTTATGCTTTGTTTTATTTTTTCCCTTTCTGTAAAATATGCTTTGTCTTAAACTCAGGAATAATTTAACATTAGATCCCTAAATAATATTTCAGCTTTAGGCAAAGCACTCTATGAACACCAATTAGCAGTCAGAAAAAATAATGAAAATTCTTTAATTTCACAACATATAGACAGATTTAACCATAGTTTCAATTGGGAAAATGTGACAATCCTAGATCAGGCCAAGTCCAAAAATGCCAGGGAATGTATAGAAGCCTGGCACTTTGACAAATTAGCCATCAATAGACACATAGACATTAACAACATCTATAGATTATGCAAAAGAGATCATCTACCAGCCCAGAAGGGAACAAAAAGACCAAGCACCTCTCCACCAGCAATCAGCACCAGATCTGCATAGATTAACTCCAACTTTAACATCAGATCAACAATCAATCAATACCCCGATCAAGAAACTGCCAAAGAGACAACAGCAGGCAGCCCAGTCAAATAATCTCTAAGACCATCCCTACCAACATTGACAGAACAAGCCATTAAAATATAAACTGACAGCAAACCATGCTCCTTACTAGCACTAGTTTGGGTAATGAAACATCTGCAAGAAAGCAAGAAAGCTCAGAGAGCATCAAGGACCCCTCATTTCAACCCTAATCCACAAATATTCTCCTTTATTGGAAAGTACTCTATCTCAAGTTAAGGCCATGCTAGCTGTGGAAATAGAATTTACAAAATAAAGGCTGTGCTTGCGTGATTCAAACCAGATGACTACTGCATAAAATGTGGCTTTGTTTATTGCAGCTGTATCATACTGCAAACTTGAAGTGACTCTACTGCTTATCAAACCTTGCTTTTATGTATGTGTGTGTGTGTGCATGTGTGTGAGTGTGTACATATGTGTTTATATGACTTTTTGGCAACTTTATTTATGAATTTGATAAATCACTATCACTACTTATAAAAATTAGATTTTCATATTGGATTAAAAATAATGTAGAATAATTTTCATTACACATGCATGGAACCCAGTTCATATTTTCTGTTTAACATGTAGAAGTCAAAGGCAGGACACAAATTCTAAGGGTTTAAATAAAGCATAAATATTCTAAGAAAGTGACATTTATTTATTTATTGCTTATTTATTTATTTATTTAGTTAGTTAGTTAGTTATATTTCCTATTTCTTTACTACCCATCTTTCTCAGAGAGGGGCTCTTAATGGTGTACAATTTAATTAATATAACATATAAAATTAACATTAAAATATTAAAAGTAATTTAAGACTAAAATTTTAAAAATTATAAACTATAGCATTATAAAATGTCAAGGAGGTAAAAAAAAATCCAAGATGGGCATTTAGCAATAGTTAATACAGATTCTCATGGCATCAGCCAACCCCATGGTTGCGTGGTTCTGTGTCCCCCATGCAAGGCTGCACAGCCAGGTTTTGACTCTTTTGAGGAAAGCCAGGAGAGTGGGGGTGAGGTGGGGTGTCAAGATGTTCCATAATGCAGGGGCAATGACAGAGAAGATTCTATTCCTAGATTGCGCCAGTTGAATTTCTTTGATTGGCAGGGTCTTTATCATACCTTTCCTGCCTGATTAAGTGAGACAAGCTGGTGTAATGGGGCAAAGCCAGTTCTTTAGGCAGCCTGGCCTTATACCATGTAGGAATTTATAGGTGACAACCAACACCTTGAATTGGACCAGAAACCAAACTGGCATCCAGTGTTGTTCACTGAACAAAGGTGTTATATGTGAATCTTTTGAGCACCCAATATGACTCACATGGCCACATTCTGACCAGTTGAAGCTTCCAGATACTTTTCAAAGATAGCTCCATATAGAGTACATTGGAATAGTCCAATCTGGAGATGGACAGGGTATGAATGACCAAATGGAAAATTTTGCTTTGCTGATGGGAGCAACTTTATTATGTCAGAATGTAATGTCCTCCAAACTAGCTGATTATAGAATTGGCCATAGATCCTCTGGGTCTCTAGATATTTTTCCCATGGCTTTCACTGTGCTAGTCATAAAATTCAAAATCATTTCCAAACTTTTATGTACCAGCAAGGGAAAACAAAGTACTATAATTTCTATAGCAATAAAGCATGGCAATATGTAAGGTATTACAACCATCCTTCAGTGCCAGATTTTCTGCTTTTCTGCAACAGTTTGAAGCCATTGAACCTTGAATTTGGTGGCATTAAATTAGAATCAAACTGCAGTATACAGGGAATTGTCATAGCTTCCTTCAAATGTGAAACACTGTAGGAAAATACAATTTACTAACTCAAACAAAAGTCTAAAGATATTTCTTCTGGCATGTGGAAATTAGTTTGAATTCACTCACTCTCTGGAAATACCCAGGATCAAGCAATATAAATAAGAACAGAAATTAAACAAGTTTAATTAATGCAATCAAGACTGTACTTCCTGAGGAGAATGCTTTTTCATTTGAATATTTGTGGTGCTAAGAGATGGGCTTTAATTAAGCTGTTATGTCACACAGGCACAGCACTGTTGTATTCCTGAGTCAAAACAGTCAAGGAAGAACAGATAGTATCTATAGCTGGAGAAAGGCAAACTCAAAGCATGAAAGAAGTACTGATGGAGGTAAAGAATTTATTCTCAAACTCTGCTTTGCTGTCTGATGTGCTTGCTCTCAGCAGTTCCAGGGTTGAGAAGAACTTTCACATAGGTCCATTTTATTGTACAAGTGTCTAATTTCTT